TCTCGGAGGAAGGTGAGGCAGCAGGCTGTCCCACCATCTACTTCTAGCCGAACGTCCAGCTCACATCCTCGATCTTGTCTCACTGCTTCTACGACACCGCCCGATTTATATTATATTATATACCCCACCGACGCGCGGCGCCCTCCGCCGCACGCCCAGCGCAGTACGCCCCCTAAATATTCCACGCCGGTCTCCCATTCCGGGCAGTTTCTTGGCCTCCTTGTGCTCCTCCTCACCGGCCTTCTCGTCCGCACCCCGCCATATCTGACCGAGATCTCGAGCAGGAAGTTTCCACGCCGGGCAGACGTCGACTGCGCCAGTCCAATACCATCGCGTTTTGCGAGCCGTCGCCACTCGCCCCCTTCCTTACATTCATTGTGCGCGGCACCGACTCATTTTTGCTGTCATATGCATATACATTTAGCGCGCGCCAGGCAGCACGGTTACCTCGTACTACCTACACTGTCGACAGAAAGCGCTTCACATACGTCTTCCGCAGTCTCGAGCCGTCCACACCGCCCGCTTTGGGTGTCCTTTCTATGTTTGTGCGCACCTCTTTCCGACTCCACCTGTTTCCTTGTGCGCTTTCGAGTCTTTCAAATTCAGTATGTGTGCCAAATTTGATGTTCAGTACGCCCACTGCTTCGATCTTCAGGCCGCGCCGCGGTGCGATAACCCACACCTGTTGTTCTTTTCTTGTTCACGCCATGCCCGACCGGCATCTCGAATTGGGATGTTTCCACCCCTGGGCGGACGCCGACTGCCCCGGCGTTTTGTCTGCCTCTACAACTGGCATCGTTTTGTTCAGCACATGCTGCGCTTTTTCTTCAGTACGTCCGGGCCAACAACCCCACGTCTATCCTTTATTTTTCACGATAGCACGGCCTCAAACATCAGCAAGCATCGGCCACGGCATTTAATTCCTCCACCACTTGTTGGATTGATTATCCGGTCGAGATACGTTTGGACAGGCGCTATTGTGCCCGTCGACAATGAAAAAATCGTTGTTGAATACCGGCGGTTCGATTCCCCATGGAGGGGTTTTTCCAACTAAACCGTAACGCACAGGACTTGTGGTGGTGGTAGTTCATGACTCGGATCAATGTGCCATCGACGCCGCTCATCCGTCGCGTGAGGACGTCTTTTCAGTGGATCCTCTGGCTGAATTACATATTTAATGCAAATTTCTAGTTGGCGCGTTTTAAGTTATATCCATCCATCACGGTGCAACTCGTGCTCGAGGTGCTCATGAGCCAAAGATTCACGCGCGCGCAGCATATATGTAGCGTAGTGTAGCGCTCACAAGAAGTACTGCAGTTACCCAGATTTACAAAAGGTCTCGCATCCATTCACTTCAGTACACACACAGCAAATAAGAATGATAAAAAAGAGATCAGATTCTCCAGCAACATAGATATGTATACAAAATCGAACGAATCCGCACGGGACAGCCATATACACTAACACTAAACAATAGGTATACAGCAGTATGTAGGTTGGTAGGCGTGCGATACTATTGTGCGGGCGAGCCAAGAAGCGCTGGGTGCAAAAAAAAAAAAGTCAGTATAGGGAATATACGTAGATTGAAGAAGAGGAAGCGTACCTTCGTCCGCGGGGCGCTATGTATGTTGAGGTGGTTGAGGTGGAAGATGAAAGAAGACGGGAGAGGGAGATAACGAAGGAGTGGACGGCGCGTTGGGGCGGGCGGCGCGCGATGGGATGGATGCATGGGAGGGAAGGCATAACGATACATGATATTTATTTATGAGACTCTGCGAACGGGGTGTTAGCATCACGTCGCATCGCGGTGGCACGCGGCGAGGAGCGGACATACGATGGGTATCAATGGGGAGTCTGGGTGGTATCGAGGGCACAAACAAACAGACAAATTGTGTGCGAGTGGCAGCAAAGCTAGCACACGACGCACGTCGCGCCGTACTGCGCCTGCGAGTCCGCGTCCAGCGGGACGTCGCTCGGCGATGCGCTTGGGGACGCGGCGGAGGCGGAGGGGGAGGTGGGCACGCCGGAGTCGCCGGGCATGCCGAACTGCGGGGGCGCGGCGGACGCGGTGGCGGACGCGAAGAGCGAGATCTCGTCGGTGAATTGATCCATTGGTGTGTTGGGAGGGGTTGGGTGGGTGGGTGGGGTGGATAAGAGGCTGGTTAGAGCTTTGAGGTGGAGGGTGCGAGGAGGGTGGGTGAGTGCAAGCTGTGTATGGTAAGAGAGCAGTGGTAGCGCAGCAAGATGGACTCGAAGGCGAGATGGTGGGTGGGTGAAAACAAGCTGTAAAGCGCCCAGCGACGACCCCTTATACCCTGCGCAAAGCCCATTGTGCGCCCGGCCATTGTGGCATCATTGTGCATCCGTCCACGACTTTCCATCATAGCAACATTATTCTCGTGGCCCATTGTCAGCATCAATGTGCCCGCTCACTCACTCAGCCAGATCCGAACGGAAGAAAGAACAAAGAGACAATGGCGCGCGATCGCCCATTGTCCCCTTGTTCTCGAATTCCCCATTCGTCCATTCCATTTTCACTTGCGCATCCGTCCATCTTTCCCATTCACGTTAGCGTGTCGACAACCAGTTCCGAGGTAGGATCCGCGTTCCCATACGCCCAATGCGCATTCGAATTCGGGGATGTGTACGTTGTGTTGGGCGGAGGCAAAAAAAAAACAAAGAAACATCAAAGCGCAAAAATTGATCATTGTTCTATTTTTAGAACGTCGCATCGCATTGTTGGCCCAAAAAGGAAATCGAGGGAAATCGTGCAGTCGTGGTCGGCGGCGGCGGGTGGAGGCTTGAGGTCTTCGTTGAGGGGAGCACGACACGACCGTATAGTGTATTGTATTGTATTGCAGATACGTATGCTATGTATGTAGGGGAAACGCGTCGTGAGGAAATACGAAAGACACAAGTAGGCAGTAGAGCGAAAACCGAAAAACGAATGAAAAACGAAGCATAGAGAGAGAGGAACGGAGGTAGAGGGAGCGTGCGTGGGTAGCGTAGCGAGGGGCGCTGGGGCTAAAAATACAGACGGGCATATGGGTGCGTGAAGGACAGGACGTGGATGAGATACGTGGATGGACAGATACGTGGAGGAGGGGGACGTCAGGCCATGTCGTTCACGGAGGACTTGTGCTGCGGGTGGTGCGACGACGTGGAGTGGGCGGTGTGTGAGGAGCGGGCGGTGTGCAGGGAGGCCGAGCGGCCCTTGTACAGCGAGTCGACGTCGGCGTCGGTGTCGTCGTCGTACGGCGGGACCGGCGCGCCGAAGGAGGAGGACGAGAGCGGGGTCAGGGGGAAGGCGGGCTCAGACTTGTCGTGCGCGTGCTTGGCGGAGTCGAGCCCGGGGGAGGGGAGGGACGACCACTTGGGCGGCGGGGACGAGGAGGCGAACGCGTGCGCGTTGTTGTCCTTCGCGCTGCCGCCTTTGCCGAAGCTGAGCTTCTCCGGGAGGCGCACCACCTTGCGCACGACTCCGACGCACGCTCTGTACTCCTTCACCGCGTCGTGCCCGACGCAAAGAATGCGAAGAACATGAGCGCGGTGAGGGGCACTGTCCAGAAGATGAAGTACGTCCACGCCCACTGCTCCTGCGGGATGAACACGCGCGGGAACGCCGCGACGCGCCCGAAGTTGCTGTGGACGTCCGCCCACGAGATCCACGGGCGAAGGCCGTCGCGGCACGAGAGCCACATGTTCGTGCCCGTGACGAAGGTGGCCCAGACCATCTGCACGATGGCCATAGCCATGAGGCGGAAGTAGCGGGAGGGCGTGAGGGCGGAGCTGTCCTGGAGGTGGCGCGCGAAGGTGAGGCGGCGCTGGAAGAAGTGGAAGAGGGCCGCGCCGGCGAAGAGCAAAGTGAGGAGAACGGCGATGAGCTGCGGGACCCAGACGAGGCAGATGGCGGCGACGGAGATGTAGGTCGCGGGGCGGCAGCCAAAGTCCTGCACGATGTCGAAGCGGTGGCCCTGCACGATGTAGTCTGTGGGGGACGGGTTAGGTGGGTGGCCCGAGCGAGAAATAAGGAGGACGCACGGAGGGCCATGCTGATGGCGGGGACGCCCCAGCACATGGCGAGGTCAAAGTACATGCGGCGGCGTTTCTGTTCGGGGGTCGTGCGCACCTGGCGCACAGAGGCGATACGCTCGAGGTGGATGCACAGGCACAAACAGCACATCGGCAGTGCCATCGTTGCGCCGACCTGGAACTTGGTGGCTAGCGTAACGAGTCAGCATCGACGAGACGAGAGCACAAAGGACAAAGGCGACTCACTGATGTCACACCACACCTTGGCCACGATGCGGATGTTGTCGGCCCAGATGATGGCGTTAACGCCTAGCATGATGTTGGAGAGGAAGAGCCAGGCGATGATGGACAGCGTCGGCACGTTGCGCGCCCGCCAGTGCCACGGCAGCGGCACAAGCACTAGGAACGACGCCACAAACGCGCCAATGGGGAGCTCGTAGTGCATGGTAGATAGATATGTGGCAAGGGTGTTTCTGGTCGGGGGAAGGTGCAGAAGGCAGAACACCAACCGCAAATCCTCTTTTATAAAGGACCCCATTGTCACCCAAATCACTCCCATTGTCCGTTTTTCGGGGCGTCAAGTGCCAAACATCGCTCGTGAGCGCCAAACATCAGTGTGGCCAAAGCCGAAATGGAGTCTGCCAAGCGCCTCGCGGCGTTCCTGAGGGGATGCGGTGGCCCAGAACGTCCATAAAGCACAGGCGGCGCGCGAGTCGGTGAAAGGAAGTGTGACGCGTGACATGTGACGAACAATGGGATTTTGCCATCAGGCGCTTTGGTGCTTTACGGAGGTTGAACGGGCGGCTGAGGGTGCTTTGGCGTCGCTTTGGCGCGTTCGGGAGGTGGTCTCAACTCAGCGGCTTCTGGGGAAGAAAAAAAGACGCGAGGTTTGAACATTTTAATTGTTGTCGGAACACGCATTTTGCCCTCATTGAGCTCTACATCCCGGCTGGCGCTAAATCACACATGGGCATGTAGTATAGTTGGTTATTGCGCCCGCTTCGCATGTGGTGTTACCATATGACCTGCGGGAGGTCTGGCGTTCGAATCGCCACTTGTCCATCTTTTTGTCATTTTCAGCATCACTGCCGTAATTCTTTCCTTTTTTTTCCTTGACTGCCGCCGCTCCTTGGGACGTCCCCCAATGCCTTTTCCAGATACCTTGAGCTCTGCACCCTCGGCTGGTGAAACCGAGGTACCGCGTCCAAAGGAAACGAGGCACGGGCATGTAGTATAGTTGGTTATTCCGCTGTGAATGTAACCCAGTCACTGCGGGAGCTCTGGCGTTCGAATCGCTACTTGTCCGTTGTTTTTTTGGCGAGATTCTCTGGGATCGCTTAAGTTTTTTTTTCCCCGTTCTTCATGTTTTTCTGTCGCGCCCTCCCCGCCCCTTTCTGGGGGGCCGTCGTTCGTCGCGTCTGTCGCCCACTTTAATACTTGTTCCGGGTATCTATTTTGTGTGCTGGTCGATTCTGTGGGCACGGTGCAGCCTTAGATTTAATATAATATAATATTACTAATCCAGTGTACTAGTTAGTACACATATAATCCCGGTTCACAGGGATAGAAACCAGCCCTCGTGGATGAAAGTACATCACCCGTTCAGTATCATCGTTTCACGTCTTGAGTAGATGCAAATGGGCAGTGGGGGTTCGAGTCCCCCCGAGGGCATGCCTTCTTTTCTGTGTTTTTGCCCGTCAAGGGAAGAAAAATGTGAGTTGTTATCAAGGGTCAAAGGTAGGGAGAATTAGCCCTCGTGGATGAAGGTACATCACCCGTTCAGTATTCCATGTCTTCGTCTAGTCGACGCAAATGGGAAATGGGGGTTCGAGTCCCCCCGAGGGCATATAGCGGAAAATCTTCAATTCTTTTTTTTTTCATCACGGTTCTTTTTTTCGGTGTGAATATTACTCAGACTCAGGTGTAGGGAAAGGAGCCCTCGTGGATGAAGGTACATTACCCGTTTAGTATTCGACATCTTTGAGTAAACGGGCAGTGGGGGTTCGAGTCCCCCCGAGGGCATGTTGTGATTCCATTTCCACACTTTTTTGCCACTCAAGGGAAGAGAATGTGAGCTGTTATCAAGGGTCGGATGTAAGGAGAATAAGCCTTCGTGGATGAAGGTACATCACCCGTTTAGTATTCAATGTCTTTATTTCGTCGACACAAATGGGAAGTGGGTGTTCGACTCCCCCCGAAGGCATGTCGATAATCATGATCCATCTTTTTTCATTTTTTTTTCATTCCATCACGGTTCATTTTTTGCGTGTGAATATTACTCAGGTTCAGATGTAGGGAAGGAGCCCTCGTGGATGAAGAGGTACATCACTCGTTCAGTATTCAATATCTCTATTTAGTGGATGCAAATGGGAAGTGGGGGTTCGAGTCCCCCCGAGGGCATGTTGCGGTGTCATGCGATTTGCCACTCAGGAGAAGAAATTGTGAGCTGTTATCAAGGGTCAAATGTAGGGAGAATAAGCCCTCGTGGATGAAGGTACATCGCCCATTCAGTATTGCGCGGCTCTAAATTAGATGCAAATGGGCAGTGGGGGTTCGAGTCCGCCCGAGGGCATGTCATGATCATTCCGTTTCCACGCCTTTTTGCCACTCAGGGGAAGAGAATGTGAGCTGTTATCAAGGTCAAATGTAGGGAGAATGGGCCCTCGTGGATGAATTTGTACATCACCCATTCAGTATACGGTGTTGTTGAATTCTGCGAATTTCGATGGGAAGTGGGGGTTCAAGTCCCTCTGAGGGCATTACTATGCTTCATGCTTTCTTCTTTTTTTTTTTGCCGTGAAGGAGGATGGAAATGTGGACGCTCATATCAAGGGTCAAAGGTTTAGCCAACAGCTCTCGTGGATGAATTGGCGCATCACCCAATCGCAGTATAGCGGTCGTAGTGTAGGCTGAATGGGAGGTGGGGGTTTCGAGTCCCCCCGAGGGCATGTCCCCCATACAATGTTACATTTTTGCCGCTCCAGAGAAGAGAATGTGAGCTGTTATCAAGGGTCAAATGTAGGGAGGATAAGCTCTCGTGGACGTTTCCCACTACACATGTGCAAAGGGGAGGTGGGGTTCGAGTCCCCCCGAGGGC